TACTTTTCTCAAGTCCAGGTAGTACCCTTATGACTGCTGTTTTAAATTGTGGTTCAGGGGCGCCTGGGTGGCGCAGTCGGTTAAGCGTCCGACTTCAGCCAGGTCACGATCTCGCGGTTCGTGAGTTCGAGCCCCGCGTCAGGCTCTGGGCTGATGGCTCAGAGCCTGGAGCCTGTTTCCGATTCTGTGTCTCCCTCTCTCTGACCCTCCCCCGTTCATGCTCTGTCTCTCTCTGTCCCAAAAATAAATAAACGTTGAAAAAAAAATAAAAAAAAAAATAAATTGTGGTTCAGGCATATTACTTATACCTATTTTGATTAGATCCCTGCTCATGACCTCTTCTTGTTCTTTCTATTGGGAAGAATTCCTGCAGCTTGTCATTTTGTTTAGATCTCAGTCTTCTGTGTGTTAGGAAAGTCTGTTATGTTTCCTGCTCCTGAGAGCAATAGCTGTATTAAGAAGTCATAGGCTGTTCGGGGCTTCAGGATACACCTCAGGAAGTGTTTCTGGTATATGTTGTGTGCACTGTTGTGTTTTGGCTGTTCTTTTCCTTAGGTCAGTTCTCTGCAGTGCTTCTCCTTGCCTACAGTGGGAGTGTTTGGCCTTATCTAGTGTGTAGAAAATTTTAACCCTGTGTGTTTTGATCTGCTTGTTTAAAAAGGCTAGATCCTTGGGCACCTGGGTGGCTCAGTCGGTTGAGTGTCTGACTTTGGCTCAAGTCATGATCTCACGGTTCGTGAGCTCGAGCCCCACATCGGGCTCTGTGCTGACAGCTCAGAGCCTGGAGCCTGCTTCAGATTCTGTGTTTCCCTCTCTCTCTGCTCCTGCCCTGCTCACACTCTGTCTCTCAGAAAGTAAATAAACATTAAAAAAAAATACTTAAAAAAAAAAAAAGGCTAGATCCTATTTCCCCTAGAGCTGAAGCTTTGCAGCATTCTATGGTTAGTAGACTTGGTACTCGTGCTGGTCTTCTGGGGTAGGGGCCCACTGCTGCTCTGGCTCTCAAGTCCACAGTTTAAAAAAAAAAAAAAGACATTCAGAGTACAGGGAGGCAAGGGCTTGGTATAAGCACCTCAAGCCTCCACTAGTTTCTGTGCCTCTCTCTGAAGCCCACTGGTGCTGACAGGAGGGGTTAAAAATGGTGTCAGCCTATTCTCATGACCAGAGAGGGGAGTGTGCACCTGCTGCTGCTCAGGAAGCCCTCACAGAAGAGCGAACAATCTCCCTTCTGGTGTCTCAGGCTTCCATCAGATACCTGCCTTCACCTTTTCTAAAACAGCCTACCTGTAATTATTACTTTGAGAGGTTTTGTCCCTGAGATCCCATTAGCTGTTTCTAGATAGCAGCAGAGGATGCTGGTTAGATTCCAGTTTAGCATTAAATCTATACAATCATTTGCAGTGGCCTTTGTCAGAGCTCTCCAAAGAAATCGTGCCTGTGAGCCTCCACAAATGTCTCTCCTTGTGGCTGGTTTGAACATTAACTTGCTGTGCAGTCTCTGCCTGACCTTGTGGGGATGCCCACAGTGGCAGGCATATTCCTCTCTTCCCTCCTCACAGGAGCTCATATTGCACTTCCACATGCAGATCTGAGCCCTGGCTCATTCTTAGTCAACCCAACGGCTCCACCCATTTTGTTCTTTATAATCCAATTCACAACCAACTCTGTGGGTTCCACTGCCCATCTTTTGTCTATCAACCAGATATCAGTGATTAATTTGGCACATAGCTAATGCAGCCAGGGCTTCTGTGTAACCAATGCCTCCACAAAAGGCATTTGGCTGAATGCATCAGGAGCACCAAAAGTGGTATCATTTTGTCAGCCTAGCTTCAAATGGGTTTCTTGGCTATAATGTGGTTTAGGTGAACAGGTTTTGGGGTGGGTGGTGGGGTCCTAATTTGTAGCATTCACTGATTTCCATGGTAAAACTCTCAACCATGGTTAACTTCAAACTCCTGTGATATATGAGGAACTGGGAAGAGATGTATGCCCACAATCAGCTCCCAAGAGCTGGTATGAACCAGCTCTAACTGGCTTGGTTTTTGGACAGGTCCATTGTATGGTTGATGAGGGGAATGGGTACTTTTCCCCGCAATGCAAATTTACTCGCTCTAGTCTTCATCTGTCCTCTTAAGGTGAATAGTTAGTTTCACTGACTTGCAACTCAGGTCCAGGATTAGGGTGAGGCAAATGAGGTGCCTATGAGTGCAAAATTTAAAAGGCACTTACTCAGGATCATGCAAGTTTGCAGATGGCACAAGTGTATGATCCTAAGAATAAGGACCTTCCTTAAATTTTGTGCCCCAGGCACCTCAATGACCACACAGTTTCTGCCATTAAATCAAAAGCAGATCAGCCTCCCACCCTGGCATGATGTCTTATCAGCGCTTCCCTACCTGTTCTTTTTTATCTCATAGTGCCTTGGACATACTGAATCAAAGTCTAAAAGTCTATCCCACTTCTGAAGCCCTACTGTAATACTCATTCCGCTTCATCAGTGGTTCTGGTTTTGGGTTCAGCTAGACCGTCACACTGCTAAGACCCAAAAAGGCTCTCATCCCACCTGTTTACTTAGTTTGGCAGAAGAATAGAAGGCAAGGAACACTGCACACTATTTAGCAGCAGGGCAGCAGCAGATACATACCTTTGGCGCAAGTCCTCACAGCTGCCCAAGGCTATTATTTAATCCCAGAATTATAGCTCAGGTACAAGGAAACACATTTATACAAGTGGTTAGAGGAACCATTCTAGTTTAGTAGCCTCATGCCACATAAAGACGATGATATCTCTGAGACCAGTCCATGAGTGCAGTTTCAGGACTCAGCAAGAAAAACACCTGGGTATGTCATACGACATTCAGGAATGCCCAAAACTATGGCTTCCCCCAAGTATTTATAGTTTATTCACAACCCTCCCAGCTCAGATGCATTTTACCAATCAAGGGCTATGTTTACCCTTACGCAGTGTTCCATGTTTACACAGCTGCCATTCGACCTTCAACAGATTACAGAGAAACAGTGTGAGGAGAAGAGCAACAGGAGGTCATTCCCACAGGATAATGGAGAAAGGGTTTTGTTAACCTTTCACTCACATACACCAAGCCACAACATCATTAAATTTCAGAATGCTGGGGATAAAGAAAACATTGTAAAACCATCCAGAGAAAAGAAATAAGGTCTCATTCAAAGCTTTAGTAATTAGAATGGCTTCATACTTTTTAACAGCAGCACCAGAAACCAGAAGACAATGGAAGAATAACTCCAAAATTCCAAGGAAGATATTTCCAAAACAGAAATAGAAACCTACACAAACTATTATTCAAGCCTATAAGTAGACTTTACAAATATGTAAAGTCTTAAAAATTTCCCTCAATGTCCCTTTTCTCAGAAAACTTTTAGAGAACCCATACCCCTGCCAAACAAAGGAGTAATTCAAGAAAGAGGAGAAAAATCTAAGATATAGAGGATTCCTCACAGGGAAGAAGCAAAAGAAAGTCTCAATAATTGTGAGGAGAGATTTTAGACTATTCAATAGCAGGCCTAAAGAGTATATCACAGAGCAGTTTGATGGGAGAATCCAGAAGGAGTATATTCAAAAAAAAAAAAAAACCCATAAGAGTGTCTGATATGTCTGATGTATTAAGAAGAGATTTATATTTCAGGGCACCTGGGTGGCTCAGTCAGTTAAGCGTCTGACTTCAGCTCAAGTCATGATCTCATGGTTCATGAATTTGAGTCCCACATCTGGCTCGGGGCAGCTCGGAGCCTAGAGCCTGCTTTGGATTCTGTATCTTCCTCTCTCTGCCCCTCCCCTGCTCGCACTCTCTCGCTCTCTCTCTCTCAAAAATAAACATTAAAAAAATTTTTTTTATAACAAAAAAAAGAAGAGATTTATATTTCTAAGGATTTGGGGATGAATTATTGATGGGATATTAAAAACTAAGGATACAAAAAAACTAATAACTCTGGGTAAAAGAGGTATTTCAAAAGGTACCAGTCTTTACTACAGTGGAAGACTGGAAAGGGGACATACACAAACACTGAGGAGGAGGATGGTGGTTATCACATATGTTTGGTTTACTGCTATAACAGCTATTTCAAACTCCCTTCTCTCTTGCCTCCCTACCCTTGAGAGGAAAAGCTAATTACCTTCTTTCCACATTTTTCTTCAAGTTATAAATTACCAAGTAGCTATTCTGGTTAATGATACAGAATCAGAAATCTACTAGCAGTTTCTGGGAAAGCTTTTACTTTCCTTATTAAACAGGCAGATTTAGCTGCCATCCGGATCCCTTCCCTTTCTTTTTGTCTTGAACATGGATTGAGGCCTACAGCTGCAACAGTCATACTGCAAATATGAATCCATAAACCCAACATGCTAAGATTGGTGGAACAGAATAGAGTCTGAATTACTGATGATGTAACTGATGAGGTCTAAAAATCTAACAATCAAGAGATAACATTCTGAAGCCTGTTATTAAAAACTTTGGCGGAAAAATTAAAAATCGATACCACTGAGGAATGAAAATTGGGGACAGGGAGTGGTGGGGGCAGGGAGCTGCTATTTTTCATTGTAAGCCTTACAAGCAGGAGTATGGACCAGGTACTTCTTTGTCAGCAGGACTGTTCTGTGCATTTTTTTTAGCAGTGTCCTTGGCATCTACCCATCAGATACTACTGGTAGCAACTAGGGATAACCGTGACAATCAAAAGTTCTAGTTATTGCCAAATGACCCAGCAGGGCAAAACTGCCCCTGGTTAAGAACCGGAGCCCTACAGTATTTTATTTCTTTAACCTTCTAGAATGCTAGAAATGTATTCTTTTGATAAAATTACATTTCAGGAAAAAAAAACCTAATTATACGAAAGGAGGTAGACTGAAGACCATCAGCATCATTTCTCTTTTAAAATACCTTAAAGTTTCTTTTCTGACCTTTCCCTGGGGCTAAGAATCCCACTCCTTCCCTTCCAGACAAGCACAGAGAGAACAGAGATACTTACCACCTAGGAATGCACACTCGTAATGGCTGCAGGTCTTGTTTGTGCTTTGAAGGATAAGGTTATTGCTGGTCCCATCCTGTGACACGTTAAAAATCTCATTCAGAGGTATTAAAATAATTCTTTCACTTTCTTTATCAAAAAAATTTTCAATGGCAACTCCAAAGCACGCGTGGATGGTTAACAGAATGTGTTGGTCATCAGGAGCTTGAGGCTTGGCTGAATATGCCAGAGTGAAATGGCCCAATCTGGCTTGGTTGAGCCCTCCAAATTTAAATGAGGTGTCCCGGCTTACACTATACACCACATTTTTGTAACTTTCCTCACAAGGTCTTCTCAGCAACTGCAGGGCTTTTGTCAGGTAATAATGAAAAGCTTTGAACTGGAAGTCATAGACATATTCTTTTCGAGAGAGACCAGCCATCCTCACAGCTTCATTGAACATACGGTAAAAAGCAGTCTGCTCTCGAGCTTCCGAAACATATGCCATCAGTGCTATTCCATGGTTATCTTTAAAACTCATAGGGAGAAAGATCTGCGTCTTCCTGGCTTCCCACTTCACTTCTGCATTTTCCCACACAGCCTTCAAGAGTGCATGGCTTGCTTTTTCCTCCTTGAGCAGCTGGGGAACATATTTGACTTCCATTCTGTCAGTGCATTTCAGGTATTCATCATCAAATGCATTTTCTGCCATGTCTAACATTTCAGCCTTCACCTTCAAAGGAAAAGGAAAAGGAAATTAACACCCTTGAAAGAAGATATTTGCTGTATATCATTTTCGCTCATTTACTGTCCCCACCCTCTCATGCCCTGCCTAGAATTTCTCCCTTGCTTAGAAAACAACTTTGGACATGACTTTTATGTAGGAAGTATATTCCATTGCTACTGATAACTCTTCTCAGCTGTGACCTATTTGTATTAAATAGTAAATGTGAGCAGTGAGAAGTATGGCAACAATTATGCCTCTAACTCATTCATTTGAACCTTATGATGCAGAGGAAAGAATGAGTGTGAAAGCGAAGAAATGAATGGCAGTCCTGGTTTTGAACAATATTCTTAGCTAGAATGCCTCAACCCCTTAAGACTGCTAAATGAATCAAATATCACGTGTGAAATACTATACATGATAAACACATAATTGTAAATATTCCTTCTCCCTTGTCTATGTGGTTTGAGTAGGACTGATTCTGCACCTTTGGCTCCAATGATAAGCAATGATGCAGATTTAAAAACCAGGGCACTCGCAGTGGGGAGGAAAAAAGCTTTCTTCCTCTGTATTCATAAGCTCTAAGGATAATATTGGCTTCGGGCAGTCAATAGTTATCCTTTTAGTTCCATGGAGAATCCTGTTTATAAATAAAGCCAACAAAGGAAGGTTTGCAGAGCTAAAAGGTAGAGAGACAAGGCCCTGATAACATTAATTAAGGACCTGGGTCTAGCTGTACCTGAAGACTTTATTCTACCTCAGTTATAAGTATCAATAAATTCCCTATTTGCTTTAGCTAGTTTGAATAGTGTTTCTGTCATATACAATTGAAAAGGGCCTAATATATCTTTAAATGATACATATAACATAATAAGCAGGGTGGTGAAATGTAATTAGCACTGGCCTAGAGCCAGACAGATCTGAGTTCAAATTCCATAAATAGGTCTAGTTGGATATGAGAAAGTTACTCGATATTTCTGAGCTTCAATTATCTCATCTAAAGGAAATAATATCTTAACTGCAAGACTGTCGTGTAAAGAATTAATGACAAAATGAATATATGCAAAGCCCCTACCCACAATGCCTACCACATACTAAGCCTCCAACAAACTGTGGTTATCTTCATTATTTTATGATAGGAATACATGAACTACTATATGTTCCTCAAGGATTTGTATCACATTTACCTTTTCAGTTCCAAGCTTCTAGCATAGCAACTAGCAAAATATTCAAGTGAACTAAATGAAAACCCTGTACTCTGGCCTATAGATCAAAACACAGAACGAGCAAATATGCCCACGGACACCATTTAAGGATATCTACAAACAAAAGGATGCCTTTACCATTTTCTCTTTCCACTATCCTATACTTGCAATAGTACATTGGCTACATAAGCTGCAACCTAAGCTGGAGACCTCAGTTGAAACGTTAAAAAGATCCTTAGCCAGGGGCTGTTAAAGCTGCATCCTCCACGTGAATGAGTCTTATAAAGTGTGTGAGTAGTGTGTGTGCATGAAAGTTTGTGGTGGGGTGAGGGGAAAGAGTTAAGGGCAGGGAGGGAGAGGGAGAGGGAGAGGGAGGAGGAGAGGGAGAGGGAGAGGGAGGGGGAGAGGGAGAGGGAGGGGGAGAGGGAGAGGGAGAGGGGGAGGGAGAGGGGGAGGGGGGGAAGAGAGAGAGAGAGAAATAATCGATTTAAGAAAGCAAAATAGATAACCCAGGTTGGCTATTTGCTTCCTAACATCACTCTATTCTCCCTCACAAACTTCTTGAAAGAAATGTCTACCCTTGTCATCTCCATTTCATTTCCACTCATATCTCAATCCTTCCTACTCTGGCTTATCATTCCCATTCCTCCACCCAAACAGCTCTCATTAAATTTCATATATTGGAAATAAATAAATAAATATTAAATATTTAAAAAAGAAAAAAAAAAAGGAACACCCCTAATATTCTTTTGAAGACCCAACATATCCTACTAGCCATTAAATGCTGGAGTTTCTTAGGGATACTTTTTTTTTTAATGTTTATTTATTTTTGAGAGACAGAGAGAGAGCATGAGCAGGGGAGGGGCAAAGAGAGAGAGAGAGAGAGAGAGAGGGAAACACAGAATCGGAAGCAGGCTCCAAGCTTCGAGCTGTCAGCACAGAGCCTGATGTGGGGCTTGAACTCATGAACCGTGAGATCATGACCTAAGCCAAAGTCGGATGCTTAACCGACTGAGCCACCCAGGCGCTCCTGGGATACTTATTTTTTAACTCTCAACTCTACTCTTAGGCAATTGTATACATGTCCATAGTTTCAATTATCATCTAAATACCTCTGACCTGTCCTTGTAAATGCCAAACCTGTATTATCAACTGCCTACTTAGTAATTCCACTTGAATTGCTCAAAGGCCCTTCAAATGTTAATAGTCTAAGACCAAACTTATAATCTTACTGACTACAACCACCACCAACAACCTGGTCTGTACACAGAACCATCTATTCATTTTTTAGTTTTCCCAGGTATCCTCCTCCCAGTCACCCTCTGGAATCACTCCATCACTAAGACCTAACAAACTTCTCCAGAGTGTTTTCTGTATGCCAATCACGAAGTGTTCATGTATATTAATGAACTCATTTAATCTTCATGGCAACCCTGTGAGGTAGGTACTGTTATAGTCCCTTCTTAAGGATGAGGAAAGTAAGACAGATTAACCTGTCTGAAATTGAGATTTGAAGCCAGGAAATCTGGCCCCAGAATCTGTCCTTTTAAACAAAATGTCCTGTTTCCAGTGATAAAAATCACTGACATTGACGCAGCTCTTTCAGAAGACTTTAATTTTCTCCTTGTAACAACTCTTATGAAAGGATAGACAGACAATTCATAACACCACTTTACAAATGAAGAGACTGTGCTAGCATCAGAAACTGTCTTTATTACCAGCTACAAAATATTCTTCTGGGGAAGTCCTTGGGACCCCTGAACTCCTGGGTCTGTAGGTCAGTTTCCTGATGTGGGAATTTGAGCTACAGGAGATCAAATCACTGCCATCTCCTACCCAAGAAAGGTACTTTTCTCTGCAGCACAGAAAGTACCACAAGGTAACTTGGGCACCGATGCCTGATTTATCTTCAAGACTTAACATATTATAAGACAGCACACCATGAAATGACTTCCCACATTCCTCACATCATATCAGAGGCACATCATATCATATCCAGTATGTTCCAGTCTTTTCCGCATGCCTCTAACCAGTCTCCACAGGTTTAATTTTAGACATCCAGTCTTTCTGGCCCAAGGCCACAGTTGATTGTGTGTTCTGTACAGTGAGTGCCTTGAGCAGTGAAAAAGTTCACAAGTGCCACCACCATTCAGGGACAACTGAATGGACATTAAGGGACATGTCCAAAAGGCTACATGAACACACTGATTATATTTTATTCCTCTGATTCATCCACTGAAACAAAATTCCAAACTAAGGAAATTTAATTACCTCAAATTTCCTACAAAAATATTATTAAAAATGTGGAAATGGCCTGAATGTTCACAAAAAGAAATTGGTTAAACAAATTACAGAACATTCACAGAACACACATGAAAATTATGTTACAAAACAATGTTAAAAATGCATAGCAAAACCCCAGGGAGATACCACTTCACATCCATTAGAATGGCCATAATAATGGGGGAGGGGAGGGAAATTAATGTTGGCAAAGATGTAGAGAAACTGAACCCTCATACATTGCTGGTAGGAATATAAAATAGTGCAGCCACAGTGGAAAACAGTTTGGCAGTTCTCAAATATTAAAACATAAAGTTACCGGGGCACCTGGGTGGCTCAGTCGGTTAAGCGGCCGACTTCGGCTCAGGTCATAATCTCACGGTCCGTGAGTTTGAGCCCTGTGTCGGGCTCCGTGCTGACAGCTCAGAGCCTGAAGCCTGTTTCAGATTCTGTGTCTCCTTCTCTCTGACCCTCCCCCGTTCATGCTCTCTGTCTCAAAAATAAATAAACGTTAAAAAAAATTAAAACAAACAAAAAAACCCCATAAAGTTACCATATGACCCAGAAATTTTACTCACAGGTATATATCCAAGAGAACTGAAAACATGTTCTCATGAAAGTTCATGAAAATTCAGAGCAGAATTATTCATTCATAAAAGCCAAAAAGTGAGAACCCAAATGTCCATCAATATATAAATGGAGAAACAAAATGTGGCATAATCACACAATGGAATTATTCAGCTCTAAAAAGTAATGAAGTCTAGTATATGCTACAACATGAATGAACCTTGAAAACAATATACTAGGTGAAAGAAGCTCCACAAAGGGCCAGATACTGCATGATTCCATTCAGGTTAAATTTTCAGAATAGGCAAATCCAAAGAAACAGAAAGTAGATTAATGGCTGCCAGTGGATGCTGGGAAGAGGGAATTGGGACTGACTGTTAATAGCTACAGGGCTTCTTTTTGGGGTGATGGGAATGTTCTGTAATGAGATAATGGTGATCATTGTACAACATAGTGAATTTACGAAAACCACCATATATTATGCACTTTAAAAGTGTGCTTTTTTAATGACATGTGAATTATTCCTCAATTTAAAAAATCATACTGAAGCACAGGCAACAGAATATACAATGATTCCACAGACAAGGGATCAGAATATTAAATTCAAAAATAACATTTTAATAATTTAACATATTTTAAAGAAGAGACTTCAAATCATTAGGTATTCAGTAGCGATGTGAAGCAAGCATGGTGGGGAAAGAAATCAAATGAGATATCAGTCTCATATATACATAAAAATATGTTACAGAATGCTCCAAGATTCAACTGCAAAAAATAAAATCATGAAAGTACTATCAGAAAAAAAGAACACTAGATGTGAGAAAATGGTCACTACGTACTTCAATAAAATACACATAACCAAACACTGCACTGTCGTCTTATTTGAACCAAATACATATTTTAAGAATATTTAATGACAAAGACATTTGTAGCACAGTAGTAACTTAAAAAGCAAAAAAACAGTATGCACACTGTGAACCCATTTTTCTAAATTACACACACACACACACACACACACACACACATACATACACACAGAAAAAAACCAAGAAGACTATACACCAACAGATTAAGACTCTTTCCCTCTGAGTAGAGGGACTGTGGATGATTTTCAGTTTCCTCTGTTTGCTTAATTTTAATTTTTTCAACTTTCTACAGTCAGCCTGTATCAAAGTGTAAAATGAAAAAATAAAAGCTACTTGTAAAAAACAAGTTTACCTATTCTATCCGCTCTCATTTCCATCATCAACCCACATGGATGCCTCAGGCAACATTATATCAAGAGTTCCCATTCCAATGACCACATACTTCCCATTCCAAACATTACCTGGAAAATGTCCATTAGAATCACCGCTGCCAGCAGCATGGTGACCATATCAAAATGTCCTGTCTTCATTTTTCTCTTCTAAATTAAAAGGGAGAAATTCCAATTTAGTTGTCTTAAAAAAGAGGTTTAGGTATGTACAGCAGGATGACACACTATATATATTTTCATTCGCGGTGAGAGTATCATGATGGTCAGGAAGTGATCATCAGTAAGTTTCCAATGGATGTAAGGGCCATTATAATTTGTCTGGTGGTCTAACACTCTCATTCTACAGATGAGGAAGCAAAAGCTCCAAGAACTTTAGCAATTTGCTCAAAATTAAATCTATCCATTTCCAGTCATGTTGTCTCTTCTACCATAGTCAGTCACTGGTAGTCATAATTTCTTCCTGTCTCTAAGTTTCTCCTCAGCATACACAAGAAAGAATATAAACTAAAAATCACCATTTTAGATTGGTGATCTCCAAGTTCCCAGTTTCCAAAAGGTCTCCAGTAGTTACTGTCCGTGCACATCATGCATTCTCTTAACGTCTTTGCAAGCCAAGTCACACATATTTGGGTAGGATGGAAGGAATGATGAGCCCAGTAGTGGTACAAACCAGAGAGTTACCAAGGGGTCCTCCTTCCCCCAAATATTTACATTCAAAAGAAGCTCAAGGATAAAACAAGTGTCTTGCATACATTTCTGATGGTGGGAATGAAAATAAGAAAAAACTTGGTAAGCAACAATTCTAATAAGATTATACAACTCTATTGGCCATATGCCCAATCCTTGTCCCGATGTTTATGAGACTGAAAGGGGGTAAACAGGAGGGTAAGAGGCCCTCAAGAGCTGAAGCTCTCTCACAGCCATTAAATGAGTCAATTAAAGGTCGGTCTACAGTTCCTTCCACATACCTACAACAAAGTTGACATTACTGGAACTGAACCGAGACCTCTATTTTATCCTACCATTCACCATATTCTGGCATCTACAAATGGGAATGAAAAGCATGGGGGAAAGGAAAGTCTTCCCTTTGGCCCCACATTCCTATTTTTATTCAGGAGCAGCTTCTTTCACTAGAGATACTAACATATACTACCAAAATGTCACTTTTGTGTTAAACTTCACTTTCTAAAAATGATTCAAAATATAATACTTGATAGATAATTGTCATGAGGCAGTACGTGCCAAGCAAGCTCTGAATTAGGGTTTTCTTGAAAATTCTTTACTTCCGTAGTTTGAGTGTAAATAAGTCAAAATGTTTACCTGGCTTTTCTGCCTGTGGAGGAAGTTTAAATGATGCTAGGTCTCAAACTGTTTCCCCACTCTTTCAGTTGTGGTAAGCGTGTCTTCAGGATAGGAGGTTGTTGACAGTGAGAGCTGAGAAGGGAATACTTTTCTTTTTATAAACACCCCCAGCAGTAGCCTGGCAGTGGCACATTACCCCATTTGTGTCCTGCTATTTATATCTGGCCCCCACACTATCCTTTGGAATCACTGCTGTTAACACATGAAATCTCCAAGAGGCTTGTAAAGCCACAGCAATTCCCTCTAACCACACACCATGTTCAGTTCTGAACCCTACTGTAGGCTTCTGAGAGTGTGATCACCTCCCATTCCTAACCCTTTGACTCTGAGATGTTGAACTAAAGCAAGGATTTTACCCTAGCAAGATGGTTCACATAACTAGGGGAACTTGCTGTGTTAATCTCTGGCAATAATGATGACTATCACCATTCACTCACCCAGCTTACTATTTTTCAGATACTGTGCCAGCTGCTGGGATACACAAGCACGTAAAACAAAGTACTAAAAAGTACTCACAATGCGATAAAACACATTAATATGCATACTTAACCAAAATACATGTTAAAAACCTAAGTGAATTTTAGAAAAAGTCTAGTGAGAACACCAAGAAGGGAAGGATTTGGTAATACTTAGAACTGTAGCTCTCATTTGAGTATGGTACACATAGTAAATATATTGACTGTAACTCCAAAGAACACTTAGAGTTTATGGACTATAGATAAAAAACTGTGAAATGTCCTAGGAAATTTATGCATATATATAAATCAAAATACATTAAAAGAATGTATTGGGATAGTACACTATGTATAATGGCCCCAACCTGGAAACCATCCAAATGGCTAACAACAGTAGAATGGATACATTGTTATATTTCATACAATGGTATTTTGTATAGCACTGAAAATGAATAAACTCTAACCATATGTAAGAAATGTGGATAAATCTTAACATTTATGCATTTAAGTGACTGTATGACTTAATTCATACAGAGTAACAAAATCAAGCAAAACACATCTATAGCATTAGAGTCAGAATACGGTTACTCTGAGTAGGAGGTATTAACTTGAAGAGGAACAAGGACAGCATTTAAGATGCTGGTTTTAGTTCTGGCTGTTGACTATGCTAATATATTCAGTTTGTGAAAATTACTAAGCTATACATTTATGTGTATTTTCCTCTGTACATATACATGTATACATATATTATTACTCAAGTAAATATTTTAAATAAAGTGCACCCATTTTTACAAAACCCATCTCTAATCTTCAGCCTTCAAAACCTCTAACCTCTTCCCACCCCACTGGCTAAGCAATTTAAGATACAATTTAATACACTGAATGGACTCCCAGCAATAACATCATTAAAGAAAAAAGTTTGGTCAAAAGGAAAAAAGAGGGTTTGTACACGTTTCAAGCATTAAGTTCACACTGACACTGTTTTAAGTCTCAGGCATGTGAGCCTATGGGAAATGCAGTAGTGGAGTTTTCCTGTCTTTGAAGCTGAAGCCTTCCAGATTCATCTACATATCACACAAAAGACAAAGTTCACCAAAAAGAACATAACAAACACCACAGGAAGTTCAAGGCAGGACTGGCCTTGTTTATGCCCAATACGGTTTTGCTCCACTCCTGTTTTATTCCAGTTATTACCTTTTTAAAATTAAGATATAATTAACATACGATATATTAGATTTAGGTATAACAACATAATGTTTTGATATTTGTATATATTACAAAATTATAAGTCTAGTTAATATGTTACCATTCGGTTATAAATTTTTGTGTATGTGGTAACTTTTAAGCCTTACTCTCTCAACAACTTTCAAATATGCAATACAGTATTACCTATAATCACCATGCTGTAAATTACATCCCTAGGACATTTATTTTATAACTGGAAACTTGCACCTTTGACTCCCTTCACCCATTTCGCCCACCATTCCCAATCCTCAACTCTGGAAACTACCTATCTGTTCTCTGTATCAGGGAGCTTGGTTTTTTTAGTTTTGTTTTGTGGTGGGTTTTTTTTGTTTTTTTAGATTCCACATATCAGTGAGATCATAAGATATTTGTCTTTGACTTATTTCACCTAGCATAGTGTCCTCAAGGTCTATCCATGTTCTCACAAATGGCCAGGTTTCATTCTTTTCAATGGCTGATGATATCCCATTTTATTTACATAGGTGTATATATGTATGTGTATGTATACACACACACACAATTTCTCTATCCATTCATCTGTTGTTGGACACATAGTTTGTTTCCATATCCTGGCTACT